CACCATATGTATATGTGTGTGTGTGTTTGTGTATGTGTGTGTACGTGTGCGTATGTATACGCATAGATAGATTGATAATATGGATTGGACATAGGATTTAACACTGCATGGTGACTGTCAGTTGCACGCTTTAATAGGATCTTCAGACCGAAACAAATACCACTGATCTCTCAAGGTGAAAAAGGTGGAATGGCACTGAATATCTCATGGGAAAATGACAGCTACAGTGGAGTGTGAACTTCTATGTACACACTACCTATATCTATAAACGTTCTGCAACACCTTCCCATATGAAGAAAATCTTAAACAGAACATATATATATATATATATATATATATATATATACATACATATACACACACACACATATATATATATATATATATATATGACATCGGATGAAGAAGTAAAAGATTACTCGATATATCCAAGTGACACATGATTGGAGATAATAATCTCTGTATTCATTGTCATCTTTCTTCTTTCTTTGTCTCCGCTTCTCGAGTAAAAAAAAATGCGACACCTGATTGCTAATGCATCTCTAGTTTTCATTCTGACAAGATATTTTTTTTTTCCCTAGTAATACAAAATCTCTGTCGCGGTATTCACTCTTTCAATCGATCACAGGAGTTCGAACGATTTTCTGATAGAAAATTTTTTTAAAAAAAAGTAGATATAACGCCAAAATAGTTTTTCCTCCATCGCATTCACTTCCCATAATTTTATCTATAGGCGCCTTTGTGTGAAACGGACGCTTCACGTGTCCACTCCAACCTAATGCAATGTCAATCGTTATCTTCTGTTTTCTTAATTCCTGTTATTTTATTGTTCTATCTGATTAATAATGTTTGTTTTTTTTCTCTCTCATATTCTCTCATACTCTGTAACCCTTTACGTCTTCATGGGTTTATTACTTTGCCCAGAGTGAAATGATAAAATTTAAAAAGAAAACAAAGAGACATCAACTTAGCTCTTTTATTAAACCTCTTATTAAACAAGGAATAAAACAAAATCCACGCCCGCTGATAAGTGATGTTTTAGTATAATTTAAATTTCTCTTATATTTCCAGCTTTTTTATTTTTGTATACTCCTCACCAATATCGTTCTATTTCATTTCTATTCGCAGATTTTAAAGACAAGAAGCTGTGGATACACATGAATGGACTAGGATTATTTTAAAATCCCCTTCTCTTGATATTTGACAATCAATACCTACCATTTTTATTTATTTTATGTTTGTTTGTACTTTATTTTCGTAATTGGGCTCATCCCCCACTTTCATTTCATGCCATATATATTTGTTAAAAAAAAAATTATACGAGGTGTCCATAAAGTTCGTGTCCACTTTATAAATTTTACAATTTTATTTGTATTTGCGATAGAAATAATTTGTAAAAAGGATTAGAAAGAAGTAAATCTATATTTTTTAAGGTTTTATTGGAATTTTATTTAACTTTCCACATGTCCTCCATCATTAGAAATACAAAGGGTAATACGATTTTGCAGTTCACGGAAAACATTTGCCAACTGATTTACAGTAATGCCTGAAATCGCGTTAGTTATTTTAACTATACTTAAAACTAGGTACATTAAACTTTATAACATTTTCTACAGATTATTTCTATCGCAAATACAAATAAAGTTATAAATTGTTTTACGTGCACACGAACTTTATGGACACCCTGTATTATAAAATTTTTGTCATGCGTCTCTTAGTAGGATCCCTGTGAATAAGCACTATTGTGGTATATGTTGGATCAACTAGTGTTGGATAAGTTCTTGTGGCAATAGAGTAAATTGCAATTAATGAATGGGTCGCGAATCAGAATATCTAGGTTTAGGATTATCAGTGTTGAACATAATCACACCTCTTTCGCTTTGAGCTTGTGCCACAATTGTAATTATATTACAATAAATAATCATTATTTTATTAAAAATGCCTGACGTCATTTCTCACCTACCCTTATTTCTGTGATGAGGTATTGTAATTATTTACATTGTTCAAAGTGTTGTCCTCATCAGTCGTTGCACGCTCCGGCCTTCTTCAGGTGATTGCTCCTCAAGGACACATGGCCCAGTAGATAAAAGCGTTAGTTGGATCCAGTGATTGACCCAAAGAGTTGTGAGTTCAATACCTGGCTACTGCAGTGGATATTTTAGTGAAAGGGAGATAAATCAAATATCCGGTAGAGGCATGTCACGTAGAAGTAGAAAAATATACCCCGGTGGACGAAATAAAGAAGGTTCAGTCCAAAATCCCAATCACCTGAAGAAGGCCGGAGAGAAGAACGACCGAAAACACAGGAATGTGACAACAGTCCGTTCAAAAGTGAACAGAACGTGAAATAAGGGCACGGCGAGAATGTTTCGCAAGACATGCTACAGAGTGTTAGGCAGGAACTGGACTTCAGACTTGACCTGTTTCGTGTCACGGGTGGTGCGCATATAAAATATTCGTGAAGCTTTGTGAAATTGGTTATAAAATCTACATCCCTTTGAATTCGAGTAGATATATGAAAAAATTCTAAAATTCTTAGCATCCCTCGTTTGTGCGCATGTGTAGTCATATGAACATAACAAATTTACACTATTTACATTATTCGGACTATTGTCCTCATCTCTGTTGCCATATTTATCATAACGTGAGTTGTTCAACACTTGGCTAAGGCAGTGGAGAACTTGGTGAAGGAATTAACAGGAGATAACTGATAACTGACATCCATTAGACATGGCACGTGGAACTAGAACAGTCTACCCCTGTGAGCGAAATAAAGGGTTCAGTTCGACATTCCAACACCTGAAGAAGTCCGGAGCGTACAACGGCCGAAACGTTGTAATAAATATGGCAACAAAGATGAGGACAATAGTCCGAATAATGTAAATAGTCTACATAATATCTCATCTCAGAAATATAGACAGATAACAAATTTAATCCGATGAAGTCCTGAAGGACGAAACGCGTCAAAGGAAACTTTTTCCACTTTGTCATACAATTTACCGAATATTGATCTTGATATAGAAAATTATATATATATATATATATATATATATATATATGTGTGTGTGTGTGTGTGTGTGTGCGTGTGTGTGTATTAAGACATCTCTAATTACATAATCTAGACACATTTTGTCTATTTACTTTTAATAGGATCCTCTCATAATTACAGACAAGTTTTTTAGAATCCTTATTAAAGAAAGAAAGAAAATTACTATGTTGATGCATATTCATTTTAGTCCGAGTACTTTCGACATTAGCACAATGGCATCATCAGTGTGTTGTTTTTTCTAAGACAAATTGTTGTGTTCATCTGAAAAATAAATTTTTACTTGTGAAGTGAAAAACGTTATGGTTCTGTTCAGCATGATTATTAAATATTATGATGTAAACTTCAAGTGAGGTAACTAAGTTATAGAAATGCCTAAATATTAAAACAACTATTTAAAATTATTAGTTAAAAGCTAGATATTTTAAACTATCTACTGTAGAAATTTTAAAAAATTTGAGTGGTATTAATAATTAATGCTATTACGGGTCGGTTTCCGTTTTTTAATGTCGGTACCTTAAAGAAGTTTAGTTTATATTTATTATTTTCATGAAAAAAGTACACATGTATTTTAAACAAGAATTTGCAAATGTGGACAGGCATACTGTTGTAAATGTTGAAAAATGTTAGATGCATCATTCAAATGAAAACACAACCTTCGAGACGACGTAGTGGTGGTATGACCAACATATATATATTTTTTTATAGAAATACACAATTAAGTTTGCATACAATGTTGGTTTTCTGCATCACGTTAGTTGGTGATGAGGAGTCATTACGAATGATTATATATATATATATATATATATATATATATATATATATATATATATATATATAATTACTTTTTTAAAATATGATTCCATAATTATAATTTAGGCTCTACTTATGCATTGAGCACTGTTTTTGAAAAATAAAAACAAAATTACTAAATAACTTAGGATTATTAATCGAACGTGTTCTTTCCTATTTTTCTATATAGTTGCACATGCACACACACACGCACGCACACAAACATACACACACACACACACACACACATATATATATATATATATATATATAGATAGATAGATAGATAGATAGATAGATTCATTGTTTAAGAAAAATCTCTTTTCTATCATTTTGTTTTCCCCACTAGTTTCCTTCTCCATTGCTTTTTTACATTTCACTTATTTTTTGTTGGGTGTGGCCAGGCTTTCTTTCTTTCCACCTCTCTGTCGTTTTTCTTTTCCTTCTTCTCGACTTTGATTTCCGGGTGTAAAAGAGTCCGTTTTGCTTACTATCGATCTTCTTTTTACCCACCCAGGAAAATGTCCAGCCTTTGCTACGCTGCGTTCTCTTATCATAATTCAATGAAGAATTGGCATCAAGACTTCAAAACCTGTCAATTCTTCACCCGACCTCTCCATCCAGAACAAAACATCCAAACATCAATTTATTTTTTTGTCTCTCCTGCGTACCCTTCCCATTGTAACTGGCCTTATCGTCGGTAGCCGTCAGGTTATAATTCCAACCTGTTCGCCTTTGTTTGTCTTTCACATTTTACGTTCCTTTTATAAATTATAATGGCAAGTCTTCGTAAAGTGTAAAATATATGAATCGCGTTAAACACCTATTTCTGATGGTTGATTGTGTCTGTTCCTCCTAAGGGCCTTAGCAAAGTTATACGTTTACAAATATTATTTGAGAGCGGCTAAGTATACATTCACTATTCAAAAGGGGTGTGGTTATTTGGAGAAGAATATTCGCTAATTGGCTAGACTATGGATAGTTTTGTGTTTATTGTCTTCTCATCAAAACATACCATTCCTAGCGATGCGTCTAATTTCCTATCACGCATTAATAGAAGGAGTTGAAAAGTTTTCAGCCTAACCAATTTCTCAAAGTCTGACTAACGGTTCTTGGACTTTATCATCACACCTCTCTTAAGATATGAAGTCTCACTCTCGCTATGTTTCTCTGTCACCGCCTCTCTCTCTCTCTCTCTCTCTCTGTGTATACACACACGCACACACACACACACACACACACACACACACACACACACACATATATATATATATATATATATGAGATGAGGTATGGTAACTATTTACACTATTAACATTGTTCGTATTGTTGTCGTCATCTTCGAAATTCCAAAGATCTGAAAAAGGCAGGAGCATACAAACCTTGTGAATATGACAACAAAAATGAGGACAACAGGCCTAACAATATAAATAGTTTATACACACACAAACACACACACACAGAGAAAAACACACACACATATATATATATATATATATATATATATATATATATATATATATATATATATATATATATATATACTGTGTGCCAAATTATTATCGAGATAACTTTTTTTTTCTAATATTTCAAAAACCCTCCAATCAATTCATAAATTTTTTTTACACAACGTTGGCAATACTGACCTGCGCAATCACTGAATTTTTCGTACTTATCTGCGCAATGTAAACAAACTGGCGCCATATTTGTTATCAGCACAGTGATTTGAGAGTGCCAAATTATTAGAAAGGTTTAGTAAAATTCCCAGAATTGAGCAAACAAAACGTTTATTAATGTTGTACGTGAATGTTTATGATAAAAAGAACTTAATAAATAAGATAATCAAACAAATAATAACAGATACAAACAAAGGCACAGTTTTAAACAAATTAATAGGGAATGTGCTTTCCCAGTCTTGAAATTACTTGAAGAAGTCTACGATCCATAGAATTTGTTAATTGTAGGATGTCATCTGCTGTTATGCCACGAGATATGTTAAGAATTGCTTCCCACAACTCAGCGTTGCTCCTGAATTTTCGTCCGTTGGCGTACAGTCTTCGCTTCATGATGCTCCAAATGTTTTCGATTGGGTTCAAATCTGGACAATTTGCTGGCCACTTCATTTTTCGAGGTCCATCGAAGCCTAACTGTTTCAAATATTCAGTAGTCTTTTGAGCAGCATGTGAGGGAGAATTATCTTGCATAAAAACAATTGCTCTTCTGAAGGCAAGTCTTTGCCTTTTCATCCACGGTTCAAGATGCTCCTTCATAAATGCTATGTATGCATCAGCAGTCATCTTGACGCCATCTGGTACTCTTCATGGGCCCACAAATGTTTTTCCAATAATACCACCCCAGATCATTATGCCTCCACCGCCTTGTTGGCGTCTTAAACGCTGATGACGATTCTGTTCGTTCATTACCCAGCCTTTGCACCATCTATCTGGCCCATCATGTGTTGCTCGAGTTTCGTCTGTGGACAAAACTTTAGAGAAGTCAATCTTCATATTGTCCTCGGCCCATTTCAATCGATTTTGAATGTGATTTCTCGTCAACAGTGGCTTCGATACAGGTTTGACTGTTGTTGCTATTTCCCTCAGATACCGACACCGAGTACTTTTAGACACAGTAGGATCCCCAATGCGACTGAAAAGCTCTTGACTGGTAAGTCCAGGGTCCTTCGTGGCCTCTCGTTTAAGTCGTGACATGAGACGACGTGTAATAACCTTCGGTTTGCCTTTATCTGCCCTTTTGCGTACTAGTGTAGGGTCGGCGGTGAACTTTTTTTTTTTTGATGACACCTCCCTCTCATTTTAGAAATTTCTAGGGTAGATTTACCTTTTGAGAGTTCTGAGGTGATAGTTTTCTTTTCAGCATCATTTAAACTGCTTTTACGACCCATCTTTTCACTAAATTCTTACACTTTTCTAATAAGTTGGCACTCTCAAATCACCGTGCTGATAACAAATACGGCGCCAGTTTGTTCACATTGCGCAGATCAGTACGAAAGTGATTGCGCAGATCTGTGTTGCCAACATTGTGTGGAAATTTTGTGTAAATTGATTGGAGGGTTTTTGAAATATTAGAAAAAAAGTTATCTCGATAATAACTTGTTCGTGCACATGTGTAATCGTATGAACATAGACAAACCTGTTGCGATGATGTCCTCAGCGAAGAGTCGGGGCGCACGAACACTTTTTCCAATTTGTCATTCATCCGCCCTCTAAAACTGTTCCTGATATCACACACACACACACACACACACACACACACACACACACACACACACATATATATATATATATATATATATATATATATAGTCGTTTTCACCCCAAGCAAAACAGTCAGTCGCTAAGACACAAGTGGATTTATGGCTGTGGACCTTAATAATTAGTGTCAAAAAAATGTGTAATCCGGTGGACAGTAGATAGCGTTTGACATTGCATTTATATTTTTGAAGATTGATGTTAAATGGAAAACATGGAGCCGGAAGGGAGTGCCACAAGCGTGTTGTGCGAGAAAAGAAACTATTAGCATAGAATTTATTGTACACACCTAGCTAGCTCAACTGTAAATTGGTGAGATCTCGACGCCAGTCTAGTACTGCGCTTAAATTCATACAGTCTAAGTACAATAGCAATGAGCTCATCCAAACAATTACCATGAAAGTATTTATAGAAAAGACACAGGGTGACAAATTTATGGCGATGGGAAAGTGACTGAAGCCGAGCTGCCAGATTAGGACCAATAATATTATTAATTGTTCTTTAGAGTTTATCAAGACGCTCAAGAAAAAATAGCAGGGGCACTGGATCATACCTGGCAGCAATATTCTAAGAATAGGCGAATGGTAGACTTATAGATATGTATCATAGATTCTAGCGAGAAATTGTTTTAACACGACACAGTGAACCAGCTTTTTTAGCAGCTGATCTGGTAATGGATTCAATATGTGGAGCATTGTTTAATGTGCTGGGCTTGTTAGAGTTGATTCTTAATAGTGAGCCCAAATTTCATTGAGTACCTTACCCTTCTAGCGTTGTACTAGACTGCTAAATATCAGGGAATTTCAAAAGTAGTTTCTTTTTTTTTTAATCAATATTTAATTCTCTAGATATTTTATCTCTTGATGATCCTAGTGTTGAAACTTTTCAAGGATTTGTGTTTGGTTTCTCCTGAAAGTAGCATTTTGATTGATTGATTTGTTTGTTTAACGGCATATCAACTACTTCATGGGTCATTTAATGCTGAAATTTAATTTTCTTGAGAGTTTTGAAGGAATAGAAACATGATACATGTTATTCTTCTTTCACAATTGAATGCATGGTAGATAATACTCAGCTTTTGAGTATATACATGTTTGCGTGAACAAGAGGTAGTGATATGTATGTTTTATGTTATAGTTATATTTTAGAAAACAGTTCGATTTTCTTTAAGAAATTGTACGATATTATATGGATTAATGTCATGAAAGAGTTCTTTAATGTTGGTTGTTTGGTTCATTTTGTTCAGCGGCATATCAAATTCTATGGAACTCTATCTTGAACACACTTTTATGGCTTCAAATACAGATAAAATATATTGTTGTTAATTTTACTATCAATAGGTGTTGGTAATTTTGTTAATATAAACATGTGTTATATACCGTACCTATGAACACTAATGGGTATGTCTCAATCCTCATGAATACGTTGGACACTATTGTAAGTGGTAATATTGATTTTCTAAGTGTAGCTTAGATGTGCACAAGGCCGAAAGAAACGATTTTCCAAGCGTAGCTTAGATGTGGCACAAGGCCGAAAGTATAGAGCACCCTAGCGAGGTTCGAACTCACTATTCTGTCGTAATTGTTTTAGCGAGACAAGCTTGCTAATTATTACACCGCCTGAAGGTGCCCAATATAGTGATTTTCCAAGCGTAGCTTAGATGTGACACAAGGGGCACCTAGTGAGGATCGAACGCACCACCCAGTTGTAATTGTTCTAGCGAGAACAAGCTTGCTAACCATTACACCACCTCGAGGTTCCCTATTGTAAATGGTAATATGCTGTCTAAGTAGTCTGCCACTGGCAGTGGTTTATCTATATCACGCCGCTGGCGACTATTGCATGTTGTTGATGTTATAAAGATTACCATTTCATTTCCAACCTCCGTTTTGGTTATTCCTCATTCAGTAACCTTTCCTGGGTTACAACAAAATGTATTACTGGTATTTTATTATAAAAATGTAATTTGGTACTTTCATAGTGTTTTTTTTTTTTTTGGTGGGGTTTCAATGTTTTCCCATAGCTGGGACCCTAGCAGGTGCTATCATCCTGGATCAGGGTGGATCTTGGAACAACCGCAATTAAACAATTGTTCCACGCTCATTAAAACCGCCAGTCGCTCGATCAGAGGCCTTGCTGCCGGATGTAGTTTATCGTCATACCCAGAACTAACGTTGCTGCTTTAAAAATTATAAAAATGACATAGAATTATAAAAAAAAGATATAAAAGCATAAAAATGGTATAATATCAATCTTTCTATATGGCAGTGAATGCTGATCAATTTCCCCCTCGAAGACGTAGAGGATACCTGCAGCAATCAAGATGGCGTTATACAGAAAGATGGAGAAAATAACATGAGCGAAACATTTTAGCATCGAAGAAGTTTTAAAAAATGTGGCAACAAAAAGGAGACTTTTACTTATAATCAAAAAGCGTACATAATGAGGAATGTTGATTTGGCGCTCACAGGACGTCAACGAAAATTTGGCGCGAACATTTGAAATGATCGGATATTTCCGTCCATGGATCAGTTTTAATAGATTTAGTATAGGAAATAAGGAAATTGAACACAGAATTGGTTGCACTCGGGATACTTTTGTCAAGCACCGTAAAATGCTACAAATCAAATAATTGACCAATTGTCATGATTTAAATGACCTCGCTGTGTCTAGACCTTAATATGGACGTTCGCATAGCGTCCTATTTATTCAGAAATCCTTAAACTGTCATCTGTACATGAGCGTTTCCTCAGGCTAATGGTATTAATTTATTGAAACGAAGTAATCGTTTAAATCTGAAAAAAAAAAAGATGATCCTTCATGAGACCCTATAAACTGGCTCTTCAAAATCACAATGGAAAAGCTTTACCAAATAACTAATATATATATATATATCAATTAAACCCTTTAAACGAAAGTAACACCAAAAATGGGTAGCAGACGTTGACTTTCCGTAGTACTAAAAACACAAATGTTTTGCAAGAAATCTACTATCAATGAGAGAAAGAGCAATAACAGTTAGTGGACAAGAGATATCTATTTTTCTGGAATGCTGTTAAAGACTCAACCGACAGTAACATTATCTACGGAAACGGATAGTTTTACTATTACCTTTATCATTACCATAGTATGTTTCATTTACCGCCGTAGGTGAGTGTTGTTCACGCGCCTCAGTTGTTTTTTATGACCTCACATCTGCTTCTCTGTTTTCTTGTCTTTCTTACGTCTTTTCTATTTCATTGTGATTTTTCACTTTCTTTCTTTCTTTCTTTATGAGAGATTTTGCTTTAATTTTTTCCTTTTTTTATCTACAGACCGCACTTCGGTTCTTTCGCATGACGATTTATTGGAAACGAAATTAGAATTATTATTTTTGACTTTCGTTAATATTCTGTTTCTCGCTTTTTCCACTCATCTCCATTTGGAGACTTTCATTCTTTTTCAAATTTATTCGGTTCGATTTTCTTTCTCCTACTTGTTATTCTCTTTATTAACGTCTTATTTTTACTTTTGACATAAGTAAAAAAAAAGAAATTCATTATTTCAATTTGTTTTTGTTATAATTTACTCTTTTTTCTGTTCATTTTCTTCTTTTAAATTCTTTTACTGTCCAAATTTCACCTCGTTTCTTTTCTCTCTCTCTCTCTCTCTCTCTCTCTCTCTCTCTCTCTCTCTCTTTCTCTCTCTCTCTCTCTTTCTCTCTCTCTCTCACTCTCTCTCTTTCTCTGTCCTGGCTGCCTATTGTCTTTTGATTGTCTCCCTTATTATTTCTTCCTTTCATCGATGTTCGTCATTGCATTCTTCTTTCGTTCCTACTTGATTATTTCACATTCTTTTTCCTCTTCTTTTTATCTTTCGCTATTCTTTGACTGTGTTTAAATCGATTGATTTCCATCTTCCATCTTAGCTTTACTCTTTCTTGACTCTTGGATCTTCGCTTGTTTTTCATTCTTTCCCTAATTTTCTAATTTTCTCTATGAGCGCTTTATCTTTTCATCTTTTCCTTCCTTTTCTGTCTGGTTTCTTTTTCAGTTCTATTTCTTTCATTTTTCATTATTTTGTTGGGGTTTTTTTGTCCAGTTTTTATTTTATTTTTTATTTTTCTTTACTTTATTACGTATCGTCATTCATTAACTCTTTCCTTTTCTTCTTTTTTGTATGCATGCTTCTCTATTCTTTCTTTCTTTCTTTCTTTTCATTCTCCAATTTCTGTATTTTATTTTTCCTCTGTTTTCTTTCTATTTCTTTGCTGTTTTTTCTCTTAGTCTTTTTCTCTGTCTATTTCTTTCTTTTTTTATTTATTTGTTTGTCTTTCCTTCATTTTTTTTCCTGAATCTTTTTTCTCTGCATGTTTCCTTCTTACTTTTTCTTTGTCTTTTGTCTTCCCTTATTTTTTCCTTAATATATTTTCTCTGCCTATTTTCTTTTTTCTTTTTCTTTGCTTCTTTTTGGCGTTTCCTTCATTTTTTCCTCTAATCTTTTTTTTTTCATTCCCTATTTCCTTCCTTATTTTTTGCTTGTTTTGTCTTTTCTTCATTTGTTTTTCCTTAATATTTTTTCTCTGCCTATTTCCGTATTTCTTTTTCAACGCTTCTTTTTTTTATCTTTCATTCACTTTTCCCTTTATCTTTTTTCTCTGTCTATTTCAGTCTTTCCTTTATTGCATGTTTTTTTTTTGTCATTCTTTCATTTCTCCCTTAATATTTTTTCTTTGTTTATTTCCTTCTTTCTTTTTTTTGTTGCTTATCTTTCCCTCATTTTTTCTTTCAATCTTATTTTTTCTCCGTCTATTTCCTTTTCTTTTTGTTTTTGTCTTTCCTTCATTTTCCTTAATCTGATTTCTCTGACAATTTCCTTCTTTCTTTTTCTTTGATATTGTTTTTTGTCTTTTCTTCATTTTTTTCCTACAGACTTCATTTTCTTTGCCTGTTTTCTTCTTTCTCTTTTTTTTTTGATGTTTTCTTTTGTTTTGTTTTTTCTTCATCTTTTTATTTAATCTTCTTTAATCTGCTTATTACTTTCTTTTTCTTTACTTGTGTTTTTGCCATTCCTTCATTTTTTTTCTTTAATCTTATTTTTTTTTCTCTGCCTATTTCCTTTTTTCTTTTTCTTCGCTTGCATTTTTGTCTTTCCTTCATTTTGTCCTCTAATCTTTTTTCTCTGTCTATTTTCTTTCTTTCTTTTTCTTTGATTGTTTTTCGTCTTTTTTTTTCATTTTTTCTTTAATCTTCTTCTTTTCTTTCTTCTTTTTCTTTACTTGGTTTGTTGGTTTTTTCCTTCATTTTTTCCATATGTTTTCTCTGCCTGCCTTTCTATTTTTTCTTCCTCTATATACCTTTCTTTTTCTTCACTCTTTCCATTCTTTTTTTTCTTTTTCTTTTTCTTTCCTTCTCTTTCTGGCTTCTCTTGCATTCTAGTAATGTCTTTTTTTCTTTCCCTCGACCTCGGATTCCAACTTCCTTTCTTCCTCTCTTTTTCTTTCCATATATATATATATATATATATATATATATATATATATATATATATATATATATATATATATATATATATATATATATATATATATATATATATATATATATATATAGCTGTTTCCTCCTTTTTCTCATTCATTGTCCGTGTTTTCCCTATTTTATCACTTTTTTTTTACTCCTATTGTATCTTCTGACACATCACAGTCGTTAATGTCGATGATCTTTTCACTTTGGTGTCTTTTTTCAAGGAAAATGCTTACATTTAGTTATTTTCTTAACTATTAATATCTCGTCTCGTTCATTAATGTCACTCGTCTATTGTGAATTTACAATCCCTAGATTGATTCAATGTTAATATGCTCCCCCCTTTTCAACTAAATCAACCTTTTCTACTGAACTATAGCTTTCTGTTTTCAAGTCTCCACTCTAAGCTTCTATTTTGAAAGAGTCGTCACGTAGTCTCCGATCAACAAGTAATTCTTTCAAATAGAAATCATTGCTGTAAATGTACCTGATTTGATGTCTATCTTATAACGTTGCTCGCCATTTAAAAAAAATGAAATTAAAGACAAACACTTTACTAACTGAATAACAATTCCATGAATATTCATTGATACAAGATATTCTCAAAAGCATTACATCAACCGAATAAATCCTGTAGTTTTAATGGAGCATTTGAAAGAAAATGGTTTTCTTTCGTAGCTAATCATCCTGTAGTTTTAATGGAGCATATTTGAAAATCCAGATTCAAAGAAAAAACCGGTTATTATAAAACTAATTGAACAGCACACAAAATGTGAAAACGGATTAAGACAAGTAGACTTATGCAAACAAAATGCGAAGAACAAAATTCGTATTTAAACTGAAGCAGGCAGAGAAATTTGATTGAGAAACTTAAATATATACTGAAAATGGCGACTATATTTGAAAGAAAGAAAAGAAAAGCTAATCCAGACGATTCATTTTTCTTAAAGGAAAAACTAAGAAAAAAACCGCCTGAAGATGAGATGTTTAGGGATATAAAGGATAAAAAATAATTGAACAGCACACACATAAAAAGAGAGCTGTGAAACACGGACATTATGGAGACAAGTATGAGTCTTCTTCAGAACAATTTATAGTAACCTATAAAATGAGGCAAATAAAAGAGTAAGAGAAATGGGAATCCAGAAAAAGAAGAATTAATATTTAAAATCGGCGGACATAATCTTAACCATATAAAACATATAAAAAAGACACTTGGAGCAGAAAAACAAAATAAATCCACGAAGCAGTGTTTTTAGTAACAGAGAACGGTAATGAATCAGAGTCGACATACCGAAAGGTTATGGAATCCGTGCAATTAGTTGTATCATTAAAGCGTTAGAGAAATCAAAGAAAAATGGGTTGATAAACCGTAGAAAACAGAAACTTAAATATATACTGGAATAATGAAAGATGACATCCAGAAACTAAGTAAAATATAATGAAATAGGAAAATTTCGTTAGAAATTTTTGAAATTTTTCTGTTTGTTTTCTCCGTGAAATATTGCATCTCAATAATGAAATAATTACATCGGGAAAAAAGCGTTTGTGTCGGTTGTTTAAATGTCTATTTATTTTGAACATTTAAATAAGTTTTTGAAAGGTTTGTCCTTCTTCTACGTGTCGCGTCCCTTCAAGACGTTGGCGACCATGGCTCTTCACAATTTCCTGTCCTTTGCAGCTCTTAATAAATTTTGTCTTTTTGTTCTCTCTACTAAACCTCATTCCGCCATCCATTTACGCAACCTCGCTAGGTTGGTTATGCGTTGTTTTTCTCTGTCTCTCCTGTCTTCAATCCTGTCCTGTGAGTATCAAATTTCCCAAGCCCTCTCTCCTCATTATGTGCACCAGAAATGTCTCTTACTGATGTAGGGTTTTAAGTGTCTCTAAAATATCGTCTTTGCTCGCCTATTCGATCTATGGTATTCTCAGCATCCTTCTGTAGAACATTTCCGTTCCTTCAAGTCTCTTCTTCATCTGTGAAGAGACTGTCTAACATTCACTACGATATAGGAGGACTGATATTACGTAGCAGTCCATTACTTTTTTATGTGATTGTAACGAAATATACCTGTTTCATTATACTTTGCTTAGCTTTTGGAAGGTATCTTCCATCTGCCAAGTCACCTTCGGATTTCGATATCGCACTGTCCGTCCTTTGTTAAAACACTTCCCAAATATTTAAATTATTGCTTGATTTTGGTATCCCCAATTTGCATATTGAGCTGTTTCTTTTGCTACCAACCATGAATTCTGTTTTCTTTGGTGATTAGTCCTTTCTTCTCACTTTCCTTCACTACCTTCTGTAGGAGTTCTTATAGTTCCCTTTTTATATCTGCTATTAACATTGTGTCATCTGCATATCTTATGTTGTTCAGATTGTGGCCATCAATAACGAATCCTGGTAGAACTTTTAATCCTATCAGAATCATCCCACTGTATCTGTCTGATAAGAAGGCAACATCCTTGTCTTACAGCCCTTTGTATTTTTGCATCCATCTGTACAACCACATTTCCTTAAGTCTCCTCTTCATCTTTGAGGGGATTGTCCAGCATGCATTGTCTTATAAGTAGACTGATATTATGATAACAGTTCACTGTTCTGCTAACCATTTACACAAGCTTATTAAGGAGGTTATAAACTGCTTTTCTCTGTCCTTGCCTTCAATATGTCCTGATATATTGAATTTTCCAAGCCATCTTTCCACATTATGCACCCTAGAAATGTCAACTATCTTTTCCTGAAGTTAAGTATAAGTGTTCTGTTTGTTTCTATTGTATCTAAAACTTTGTTGTTGCTCACATGTTCATTCCATAGTATTCTCATTATCTGTACAACCACATTTCATTTGGTTTCTTCTTCATCTTTGAGGAGATTGTCCAGCATTCATTGTCCTATAGGAGGATTGATATTATTCAGCACACTTTTCTTTGTTTTTCATGAAATTTTCCTGTTTTTTAATATTCTGCTTAGCTTTTTGAAGGCATCTTTCACTATTCCAATATCCCTTCCGATTTTGGTGTCATATTTTCCATCCTCTGTTAAAACACTTCTCAGATATTTAAATTGTTGTACTTGATTGATTTCGGTATCTGCAACTTGTAATTTGCATGTCAGGCTGTTCTTTTACTGAAAACCATGGATTCTGTCTTCTTATAATTGATGTTTAGTCCTTTTTTTTCACTTTCCTTCTGTAGGAGGATTTGTATTTCCTTTTCTATTTCAACATTGTGTCATCTGTATATCTCATGTCATTAAGATTTACATACTCAGAAAAAAAATCTATCATTGCTCAATAACTTATTGCGAAAAAAAACTTCCCTTGCCTCAGGTAAAACTTGATACTCACAGGACAGATTGAAGTCAAGAGGGGCAGAGTAACCCAACATTCAGTTCCATAAACGAGAACTGATATTGTATAAAGGCTCAATACTCTTTTCTTTGTTTCGAATGAAATTTTCCTCTTTGTTAATTCTTAGATTTTAGATGTCATCAATTGCTATCCCAGTGTGCCTTCAGATTTCAATGTCTTATTTTCCCGTTCTCTTGAATTGTTGCATTTGCTTGATTTTAAATTCTCCAATTTGTAATTTTCATGTTGAGATGTTCCTTTTGCTAAGAACCATGTATTCTTGTACTGTTTAGTCCTTTCTTCTCGCTTTCCTTCACTGCCTTTTGAAGGAATTCTTGTAGTTCCCTTTCTGCGTCTGCTATCAACACTGTGCCATCTCCATACTTTATGTTTTCTAAGAATGTGACTCCCAGTAATGAATCTTGGTCGGACTTCTAATTCCCTCAGAATCGCCTCTCTGTATAGGTTGAATAAGTCCGGTGAGAAGATGCATCATTATATATCTTTCTATTTAGTATGTTTACTATATTCATTTTCTATGTGTATGCAGAGGGTTTGCTGCTTCTGGATTATTCGAAACTCCTTATCAAATATGTCAAGCTTACTTAATAGTTTCAACGGTTTTTTTTACGACGTACTTTATCAAACGCTTTTTGACAATCAATAAAACACATGTACACCTGTTTTTTTTTTTTAGTTCAATCCTTGTCTCAGATAGTTGAGTGGGAGAATCGGACAAGCGACATTATGGTGATTATGATTCCGTCAGTTATGTGCCATGCGTGATACACACGTAGGCGATCATGTTTTTTTCGATACATGACTGACGAGGCAGATTTTTACACCGCAGTGTACACCAGTTGACATTCAAGGCTATAGAACCCGGACTGTCCTGCTATTTACTCATAGAGAGAAGAATAGGATGTAAGTGATGTAAGTACTGTAAGTACTGGAATTCGAACTCGGCTCTCCGATTCCTCAGCCCGAACCGCTATCCATTACTCCACCGTGCCTCACTTATTATTAGTGGATAGTAATTGACATGGATTACCCCCTTAAGCATGGGAAACGGAATTAGAACAATCGACCACTACGGTTGATTATATTTTGGCACGGTTGATTATATTTTGGCACGGAATTTCAATGTTACTGAATACAATGAGAGAAACCTGAAGAAGGCTGGAGGACACAACGAAACGTTTTGAATGTAACAATGAAAATGATTACGCTGATTGAAATAGAGGAAATTCTCATCGCCCAAATTCAGGCAAAAACTATTTTAACTAAAGAAGAGATTAGTTGTTTATGTATTCTTTTTAAATTACAAGAGAAATGTTTCAGATAAATAGACGAACTTTTGGTTACTATTTCC